GTTTGTATATTAGGGCAGATATTTATTTATATGTATGCCTGCTTTAATGAGACATTTCTTAACGAGCGCGCACACTTAATTGGCCAAGATTTACGTTCACGCTTTAGCCATATCATTTTCCACTGCACACTCACAGGAGCAACACCAATATATTGTTGTTGTTGCTGTTGTTGGAGGTGTTGTTGTCGCTGCCAAGTGTAATCAAGTGCCACTAAAGATCTCTTGAATCTCTCTCGTTTTGACAACTATTACCATAACAAATCAGCGCGCCTGACTGTGACAGCCCAATTGAACTGCACAGTCAACTACAACAACTACAACAACAACAACGGCCATGGCAACAACAACAACAGGAAGCCGACAAAAAAAAAACTGACAACAGCAAAATATTTACACGGCGCAACTATCGACAAAAAAAAAAGGAGAACAAAAATATAGGAAATGTTGAGGTAGAACGGATTTCGTTTGGGTTCGGCAGAGGTTTGCCGTGCTTGGGATAGTGGGAACTGCGGCTGGCTATAAGCCACCAATGCCAACGAGTCAACGTAGCCGTTGCCGTGAGCGTCACTAAACCAATTCCCGCAGTGACAACGAGGCTGAAGCAGGCTGAGAAGGGCACAGGGAATGGGGTAGCGGTGGGTAGAGCTGGATTGAGGTGGGGTAGAGGTCGGTGCTGGGGCTAACCAGGACGAGTTGGTTGACGAGCCGCACTGTGGCAGGAGGCGCTGCTACACGGCCACGTTCACGGGCCGTGCCTGGGCTTATCCTTGTGTCTGTATTCGCCGCTTTTTATGCCACAGTCGTAAATTCCAATTATCGACGACGTCGAAGCACGGCAGCAACAGCACACACCAGCAATGCCAGCTACGCCAGCAGCTAGCCTCCGCAGAAGCCGGCGTCGAAGTTGTCGAGTCGCTCGAGTCGCTCGAGCCGTCGAGCCGTCGACGAGCTCTGTGAAGTGGAGCGTTTTTCAAAGTCAGAGCCCGGCACGCGGCACACGAGCCCGGCGTTTTATTATTATTATTGCTGTTGTTGTTGTTGTTGTAGCTGCTGTTGTTGTTGTCGTTTTTGTTGCTATTTTAGTCACAGTTTTGTTTCGTTTTCATTAATATATTTAAATTTTGGGTAATCCTTGTTATGCGGCAGCAGGTAATGCCACGCAAAACCGAAAAAAAACCCGAAATTGAAATTGAAACTTGGAATTGGATTTAGATTTGGTTTTGGTTTTGGCTTTTTATTTTTGCACACACTTTTCTTGTTGTTGTTGTTGTTGTTGCTGTTGATGCTTGGGTCAATATTTGTAGTTATATGCGGATATATGAATTTGTTGACTATTAATTAATCAATTTCGCTCATTAATTTGATTGAATTTCGGTTGGGCGAAAGAAGTCACTGAAGTTTCACAAATACCTTTCACACTCCTCTTTCTCTCTCTCTCTCTCTCTATCTTTCTCACAGACGCACACGCAAACACACACACACGCTCAGTTGTAAGAAAACATTACGCTGCCTGTGTGTGTGTATGTGTATGAGCGAGTAGAATGCGTGCGTGTGTGTGTGTGTTTGAGTTCGAGTGTGTTTTGGTATGCGCTTTAAACGGATACCCTAAAGCGAACGCATTGGGCTACATTTCAACGTAGGAGCGCAGAGTCCGTGTGCAACATGTGTACCGTTATAGCTTCGCGTATCTACTGGATACACGACTTCAACATCGTCACACTCGTCGCTGCCAACGCGTCTCTGCTTTGATTTTGTATTTCGAATTTTCGAACTGCCGGAGCGACCAAAGAGAAAATCTAATTGGAATTCGAATCAGCAGCTAAAGAGCTCAGCCCTCACACGAGCTACTTAGAATATGTGTTAAGTTTAGTGCCTTTGACTTTGTTGATGCCATTGTTTTTGGTGTAGTTAGAATATCTAAGGCATTTTTTAAATTATAGAAGAACAAACAACATGTTACTTTTTAAAAAATATTAAATAATATACGAAAAATATATAAAAATACTCACATAAAGCTGGCTTGCTTGCAGACTTATATCTAGGAGATAAGACATATATTTCATATATAAAACCTATAGCCGCATATAATACTTTTCAATTTATTTACAAGTCACAGCCCATTCATAAATCTCGATCGTAAAACAATATTTAATTCAATAGCAGCAATAGCAAAATTTAAGCTAATAACATAACAGTCTGTTAGCGGCCAGCAGACGTTCACTGTTAAGCGAGTCTGTTTCAGCTACAGCTTTGATTTTTCGAACTTCGAATAAGAGAACTTAACAGTGCAGCCAAAGAGTAAACAACGCAAACTTGGCGATATTCGAACTGGTTGTTGACAGCATTAAATATCGTAAATGTTTTTTGATGATAACGGCTGCGACTGTTAAGATTCGAAAAGGCCAAACGAGTGCAGTTGGAAAAGAAAATTAATTTGGAAATGCAAGAATATAATAAAAAAATAAAAAAAAAAAATATTTAAAAAAAAAATTGAGTCCATAAACTAAGCCAATATTATATTTTTATTATATAGAATGGGTATTAATACCAAATTGAATCAAATTAGATTATTTAGGAATTTTAATTATAAAATACTATTAATATAATATTGATTATATTTAAAGTTTGTAGTTTTCTGTGAATGAACACGTAAAATCACTTCGCGCTCGCCGCTTGTTCAATTAAAATAAACTAGATATATCGTACAAAAACAAATTTGAAATGTTTCGACGATGAGCTTTAATGTTTTTTAAATCATTTTGCATATATTAAGTGCCCAGCCCAATTCAAATGACTTTTGAACCATTTAAGAGACATTTTATGGGCCAATATAAATAGCCGGCTATATGCGATTGGCGACCATATTCAACGGGTTTTTAATTGGTTTCAATGTTGTTGCTAATTAATTGCTGAATTTGTTTTAAACAAACCAATTTGTTACAGTTTTACAGCTCTGCAGCAATTTTTTATTGTTGTTGTTGTTGTATCGGATAATTGAGCATATGCTGAAATCAAATGTCAAAATGGGCTTAAACAAGCAACAAGCGAAGCCAAATCATAGAATATATCCCATATACATATATATATCTATATTCATATATATTTATATGTGTATGTATAGGTAGAGCATTTAGAGCATATTTCATTGCATCACATTTGGCCATTTGCATATTTGCATAAATTAAATGCAATTTAAATTCAAAACTCTCTGCTCTTATCTGGGCAAATAAACAAATACAATATTGAATGTATAATGATAATTAAATTGGTTAGACTTGGGAGTCGGCGCACATATAAATATTGACAGCATTTGCGTTAAAGCCAAGAAATCATTGGGCCCACAAATTTGTTGCTGGCAAACAGTTGAAATTCGAAAATAAATCCATTTGATCGCCCGCGTCTACTCGTATAATTTGGTATCAATCAATATGTTGAGCCGCTTGTATAAATAAATTCTCTCAACTTCTGAAGTAGATTTCCATAATTTTATTTTGTGTGTTGGCTTCATTTTTGTTTTGGGTTTTTTTTTCGAGAATTTTTTAAATTTTTTTTATTTTGCAGAAAACAATTCAGTCTCATACAGCCAGATGTTATTCATCATGTGGCTTTGTTGTGCCTTATCGTGTGATTGATGCGCCATATTCACACGATTCGATATCGGAAAGGAAGTAGTAAAGATGCTCAGCCAATTTACAAGAACAAACACACGAGTAGATGTGCTCACGCGTACACTGAGCGAAATGCGTCAAGAGTTGAATTATGAATTGTGAAACTAGAATTGTGGGGCTTCAAAGAAGATTCGATTGGCCTAGAGCTGAGATGTTTGCAGCATAAATCAAACTTGAACCTGATAAATTCAACGGAAAGTCTACACTTTTTGGCTGAGTGTAAGTGAAAAAGCCAAAAGGGAGTCAGTCAGAGTTACATATACATATGTAAATATATATTCATTAGAGTCATTTTTAAAGCTGATGCAAAACTCTTCAAATTTCGTCAAGTTTACTGCGCTTGGCAAACTCACAAGCTTTTCGCTGAGTGTACATTACATATATGTACATATATTGGCTTAAAGTACATTATGACCACCCATATGTACATATGTTTAAATGGCTCGAGTGCAATCACCTGGTCCACAATCGGAACGGGTGCATTAAATCGTTAAAGTAACATATACAAATTAATGCAAACAAAAACACGAGTGCTTCCATTCCACAGGGAGAGGGAGAGTGAGAAGGAGAGGCAGAAAGAAAGTGAGAGGTAGGGCGAGGGGGACTATTTTCCATATTTGGAGCTGGGGTGGCGCGGGGGCGGATCTTGTCAATAGTTACGACTTTCTGATGTGCCATGGAATGCTAAACAGATCAAAAGCCCAGGCACGAGCGACTGCGGCACGAGGTGTGAGAATTCTCAAGTGAGCTGGCCATGCACTCAGCTGCCTGCAGGCAAAGTCCCAGACGACGACCCTCTCTCTCTCTCTCTCTCGCTCTCACTCTTTCTCTCCGTCCTGCTTTAGGAAGAAATGCAGCTTCGTGGACTTAGCACTGGGGATTTGTGGTTTATTTTTGGGCATCCATTGTGTTTGGCTGGCTGCCCGCCTGCTAGCCTAGCTGGGCGAGCTCATAAAATAGGTGTGGTCATATCATCAATAAATATTCTTCCGATGCTTCAATAAAAAGAAGAGCAACGAGCAAATTAGCTAGAAAAATACTCAAAAAAGAAGAATGTTTAGAATTGAAAACAGTTGCACGCTGTGCGCCCTAAAAATAGCAACGTCAATGGCATCCGTAGGTAAACAAAAGAAAATGCACCACATGAAATGCATCTGCATCTGTATCTGTATCTGTATCTGTATCTGTATCTGTATCTGTATCTGTATCTGTAT